GCCGTGCGTTCTCCTGGGGAAGTTGTCCCTGGATCCCGGGACCCTGGCAGTGGCGGGCTGCACAGGCTCCCCGGAAGGGGGGTGTGGATAGCGACCTGTCCTCACACACAGGCTTCTTGGTGGCGGCAGCAGCAGCCTTAGCGTCTTATGCCCGTCTCTGGGGTCCACGCTTTTAGCCGCATCTCGCGCCCAGCTCTGGAGCTCCTTTAAGCAGCGCTCTTAATCCCCTCTCCTCGCGCACCAGGAAACAAAGAGGGAAGAAAACGTCTCTTGCCTCTTTGGCAGGTCCAGACTTTTCCCCGGACTCCCTCCCGGCTAGCCGTGGCGCACTAACCCCCTGCAGGCTGTGTTCACACCGCCAACCCCAGTCCTCTCCCTGCGCTCCTCTGAAGCCAGAGCCTCAGCTCCCAGCCCCGCCTGCCCCGGCGGGTGAGCAGACAAGCCTCTCGGGCTGGTGAGTGCTGGTCTGCACCGATGATCTGTGCGGCAATCTCTCCGTTTTGCCCTCCGCACCTCTGTTGCTGCGCTCACCTCCGCGGCTCCGAAGCTTTCCCCCTCCGCCACCCGCAGTCACTGCCCGTGAAGGGGCTTCCTAGTGTGTGGAAACCTTTCCTCCTTCACAGCTCCCTCCCACTGGTGCAGGTCCCGTCCCTATCCTTTTGTCTCTGTTTGTTCTTTTTTCTTTTGCCCTACCCAGGTACGTTGGGGACTTTCTTCCCTTTTGGGAGGTTTGAGGTCTTCTGCCAGCGTTCAGTAGGTGTTCTGTAGGAGTTGTTCCATGTGTAGATGTATTTCTGGTGTATCTGTGGGGAGGAAGGTGATCTCCATGTCTTACTCTTCAGCCATCTTCCCCTCATCCCCCCTATTAGATTAATTTTAAATTCTTGGTTTGCCTGTTCTAATATTTTCTTCCTCTGATAAACTCCTACTCCAGTACTTTCTTCTTCTTTTCAAAAAGTCATGCATCTTAAATGTTTTTGTCCTTTAAGTTCATATTCACTTGTCACCTACTTTGTGGGGAGGTCAAATTCCAATCCCTATCAGCCCCAGTTATCTTAGGGATGAATTCTAAGAAGTTTTTTAAAATACCAATGCCTTGACGCCTAGAGATTCTGATTTGATTGGCCTAGAGTGTGCCCTGAGTATAGGGATTTCTAAGGTTGTAATTGTAATTATAATTTAGATTGTGATTCACCAGCCTTAAGAGTTTGGAGGGGAAAGGGTGGGGAAGAGAATGTCTAAAATTAGTTCCCACCTCTTTTTGAGTTCAGTTCCTCACACAGGACTTCTGTGGTGCCCTGATTTTATTCCTGAGGCTACCTGGAGCATAGATCTGAGTTGTAGCAGGCATGGGAGGAGACTTTGTATCTTAAGGTAGTGGTAGGAGAGAGGCAGGAGCAAAGCTCCAGCAGTTTTTCTACTGTTTGAGCCTTCCATAGCTATGCCTGGCTGCTTCTGCTCCAGAACAAAGCCCTCCCCCTCCATCCCCCACCAAGTTCTTAACAGTTTTCTTCTTGTTATTTTCTTTCTTTGGTCCTCTATGATGATCTTAGAGGAAGAAGCCAGCAGTTGTGCTAGCTTCAGTAATTAGAACTGTCATCTCCAAACAGCAGCAGTGTTGTTTTCATATATATTATAACTGTAAAGATTGATGTCTAACTGATTAAGGATCCAGTAATTGCATAATAATACCTGCTAGTGCTTCCTCTTTGAAGTTCCTCATTAAGAAAATAAGCTTTAAAAATATTCTTAAAACTAGTATCTTCTGCTTTTAAATAAGACTTTAAAATAAGACTTCTGTAGCCAATTTTGCAAAGCAAGATTTTTTTTTAACATACAAACTATTGTCAACAAAGGAACTATTATTCATATAGTAAGGTTAATATTTCTGTAAATGTGTAATTTTTACTTTCAACAATTTCATGTTTAGACTAATTTTTCATTCTTAGTGTACTAGTACCTTTACTATATTCTATGAAGAATTTTTAAGACTTGTTTAATAAAAAAGTCACATTTATATGTATTTTCCATAGATAGTGGAGTTGGAGCAGGGATTGATTCATATTATGAATATCTGTTGAAAGCCTACGTCTTGCTTGGAGATGACAGCTTTCTGGAAAGATTTAATACAGTAAGTTGTTCCAATTTTGTATTAAGTTTAGAGCCAATTTAATTTGCCAGATTTTGATAGAAACTCAATCATCTAAGAGACATTCTGAAAAATTATTTTTAAATGTTTAGTAGTTTTTTGGTCAGTATTCCCTGATGATGTTGGACAGGGACAGGGTAAACACTACATACATTGCAAAAACTAGATTACAAAGTAGTTTTATTTTCATCTATCATCAGAAGTTTTCAAGATTTTCCAGTGAGTAATATGTAGATTTGAGTTTTACCTAATCTTTTACACAAGGAAGGGAATTTATTGAAATCCAAAGCCTTCTCCTTTGGATTTTAATTCTTTTTGGAATAGTTTGGAAGTTTGGCCTAGTCCTTGACCACACCAAGTGTGCAGGGCTTTGGAGACTTGAACAAACCAGTGGGTATTCATTTCAAAAGAAGGTCTGTTAAGTCTTAAGTGTGGATCAGACTCACAGGCATGTTTTTAGGGGAGAAGGGAGAGATTATTGAACCCTATTGGATCGCCTTTGTCTGTAATTAAAGCAAATTGAAGTTAACTGTAGTAAACTCATCAGCTGTGTCAGTACATTCTTCTCAAAATAATTTACCATTTCTTTGCACACCCATGAGTTCACCCACATTATTGTGAGATAGTACAGTATAGTGGTTAAAAGTATGAGAGTTCTCCTGTGCGGGTTTAAATCCTGGTTGTGCCACTGGTTTTGTGGCTTTGGGCAAGTAACTTAGATATTTTCCTCTGTTCCTTATCATCAGAATGGGGATGCCAGTACTGTTTATTGGGAGGGTTAAATGAGCTAATGCACATGAGCTGATTAGAACAGTGCTTTGAGATCTACCATGTACTCAGTAATAGTTAACAAATAATAGATGAGTTAGGGAAAAAACCTGGTAAAAGTCCTAATAAGTCATCACTGAGTACTTTTAGAAACACTATTACATATATCATTTAATACATCATTTATTAGATTATAACAAGATTTTCTTGAGGTGCATGAGGACAGATTTTTTTTTATTGGTTTTTTTTATCAGTCATTGACTCTGACAGCTCAGCCTGTTGTCAAGGCTGAGAAATATCTAGGAGAAGATAAAAGAAGGGGCAAGAGTTTTTAAGACCATAAAAGGCAGAGGTAGTGGACCGTAAGAGTGGCAACAGTGATGGGATGCATTAGTTTAGGTAGACAAGCACCAGAATGTTATGTTAGCTGCCTAGGGAGCAAACTTCCTAGACAAAGGAGAAAATGAATCTAATTCTGTGATATAGAAGCCTGTAACTATATTTCAAGAGGACGTAAGAGCATCCTTGGGTCACAATCCTGCAGGATAGTGATGTTCAGGTCTATACCCTTCAGAAGGTCCCATTTTATCTATAGTTTTTAGTATTCTGCATCAGAGTTTAAGAACACAGGGGAGTATATATCGTATATTTTACAAAGATTTCCATCTAAAGGAATTTAACTATTTCCATAGTTAATTAACAGTTACTTAGTAAATTTATTCATACGTAAATTGGGGTTTCATTTCTTCATATATTTAATGATACGCTGTGTTTAGAATAGTACAGCTTTTTTCATCTACTTTCATGAACACATATTGTGATCTTTTTTAGCACTACGATGCCATAATGAGGTACATAAGCCAGCCACCTCTTCTACTTGATGTGCATATCCACAAGCCAATGCTGAATGCTCGGACTTGGATGGATGCTTTGCTTGCCTTTTTTCCAGGTTTGCAGGTAAAAAAACCTCTTTTATTTCTCTTAGTATTAAAGTAAAATGATTATAATTCAGTGCATTTGTGATCTCTAAAATTGAATTACCAAAACAGAGTCACACTTCAAAATTGTATTAATCTACATTTTTCTGTTTATATAATGATTATAGATAAAGTCAACTCATATTTTACTGGATAATTCTGTTGTTATTGTTGGTTTCTAGGTCTTAAAGGGGGATATTAGACCTGCTATTGAAACTCATGAAATGTTGTATCAGGTGATTAAAAAACACAATTTTCTACCAGAGGTAAGCAAATCATCTTTGGAATTCTAATTTACATATACTATAGATTGCTAATTTAAAGGTAGAAAATGCCATCTTCAAGGTTGGTTTGTTCTTTTTCATTTTTCCTGGTTAAATAGCTTATTTAATATATTTTTGGTTTACACAGTATTGTATATGTATTTCCTTTTCCTCGTGTATTAAGAGAAGTCTAGTTTAGGATAATGCTGATAGTTTACTAATTTAATGTTAAAAAAAAATCCCAAATTGGTATTTCTGAACCTTTTCTAATCCATGCCATTGCATAGTGTCTCATTCTAACTTTTACACTTACCCACCAGCTAGGGAGACTTTTGTACTTTTTATTTTCTAAAGCTTATTTTATGAAAACAATATACATTGAACATACTCTTGCTGATCACTCATGCTCCCTGGAAATTTGGAAATGTTAGCTCTTCTTCACACTGCTTAAGAATTATTCTCCCTGGTTTTTATATGTTAGTAATAAGTATTCTTGCTAGCTTGATACCATAAGATTTTAATAGCATACCTTTTGGCTTTCCAGAAATGCACCATTAAAAATTTCCAAATTCGTGTATGGCCTTGTTCTATCCCTACTTATTGACTACCCTCTGTGAGATATCTAAGCTTCTCACCAATTTAGAAGGCTTCCTAAAGTGTTTGTTTCAAGCCACAGAGGATTTGAGACTCATAAAAAAGCATATGCTAAAATAGAAATAGGAGAGTGAGAGACTTAATAATTAAGAGAAAAAAGTGGAGATAAGAAAAAAGAAGAGAACACAATTATGCAGACAATGAGGACCTGTGTAGTGGCATTACTGAGGTCATAGCTTTTCCTAAGCTTCCTAATAGCCAAAGTGATCACTTAAAAAAGGAATTCCATTTAATTGGTAAAAATAACAGCCTTCACAAAAATGAATTGTGATTTTAAGCAGTGATAATTTTCATTTTATAGATGAAAATTGTTATCAATATTTTAACTTTTTTTTTGTTTGTGATCTAATTTATATACTATATATTCTAGAACTACTTATTTTTTTAAATCACATTTTTATGCCTATTTGTGTGTTGTTTTGTCTAGGCATTTACCACAGATTTCAGGGTGCATTGGGCTCAACATCCTTTAAGGCCAGAATTTGCAGAAAGTACCTACTTCTTGTATAAAGTAAGCTAATTTAACTCTCTTTTTGCTATTTAGCTCCTGTTCTCTGTTGGATAACTCACTATCTTATAGTAATAGTATCGGCTTTTCAAAGTTCTTGTTTAATATTATAATGGTTGGATATATCATGGTTCTTATTCACCCAGTTCATAGAGTTATTGAAAGATGCAAGAATTGACATCTAAGTTTTATGCCTTTTCAAAAGACTTACGAAGCATTTCTTTAAAGAGAAATTTTATATTCTAGAGCTGCTTTCTAAAGCATGTCTCTTGCCTTCCTTTAATCAGGCAACCTTTCTGGGCATTAGAAATTTCATCCAAAGCCTCAGATGTACAGTTGTGCAGCCTTCCAGTTGTGTATTTAAGAAATTCATAAAGCAGATCCATGGCTTACTTTCAGAACTAGGTTCTATGTAACATGTGTTCTAGTGCCTGATATAATGCCTGGCACCTGGTAGGTACTCAATAAATATTTGATAAATAAATGGTTATATGGTACTATGTAAGCTATGTATATGTATACATATATTCTCCTTTTTAATAGGCTACAGGAGATCCTTACTACCTTGAAGTAGGGAAAACACTTATTGAAAATTTAAATAAATATGCTAGAGTGCCTTGCGGATTTGCTGCCATGAAGGATGTTCGTACTGGAAGTCATGAGGACAGGTAAAACAATTCCTAACCTCCCCTTTCCTCAGGGTAACTCTGAAACAACACAAAATGTTATTAGATTTCAGATCAGCTTAATGCTTTTACAAAGGGTATTTGAAGATGCAAACCTTAGTTCATTGTGCTTATTTTTAAAACTCTCTTGAATAGGCTTATTTTAAATTGTTTGAAAAGTCTGTGTTTTTACCATAGTGCCTGACATATAGTTGGTGCTCAAATGATTTTTAAATAGATGAATAAATGATTGTTAAACCTCAGAACCTTGGTCTTTGAAGTATTAGGAAAGTTGGGGTTTTCTTCTTTGTTAATAGTTTTTTATATTATGTAAAATGTTAGAAATTATCAAGATGATGACTAATGATCTGGATTATGATTCCTGTTCAGTCAAGAATTCATCAAAAGGAATATCGTGGTTAATGTGTATATTCTTATTCTGTTGCTGATTTGGAGAGCTGGGGAGACCCATTGGCAGTTTCTATTTCATTGGATACTGGATAGATGTTGTTGACGTGGAGTATTCAAGATATGAAAAGCACCCTTTGGTTAATATGATATTCACTAACATTCCAGTTATTCTGAGATCATTTGATTCAGTTATTTTAACTGTCCAGAACATAGCAACACATTTCTAAATGAACACTAAAGTTTGTTGGTTCATTTGGTTAGCAAGTGTTCATTCCACAAATATTTACTGAGGTGTCTTATGTGCCAGAGTTATACTAGGTTTTGAAGATTAAAGATAAAAAGACATGTCTTTTCTATCATTGAATCACTGGGGCAGGCAGATAAACAGGCTTTAAAGCATTGTATATGTGCTATGAAACATACTAAAGGGACGTGAAATGCAGATTGGGATATGACAGTCACTTGAGCGTCCTGTGTCCTGAAGGATCAGGACTAGAAAACTAGAAAAAGGAAAGTAGTAAAAGGAGTTTCCGGCAGAGGAACTAGGGACAGGTGAAATACAACACTCATTATCTACTCACAGAATTGACCCTCAGTCCTTCTCTTGGAGCATTTAGATAATAGTTAATTAGACTTGGGACCTCCTTCCCCGACCACAGCTGATAAGAAATGGATAGGTTTCTGGAAGCAGACACACAGAAAACAGCAAGAAATGAAAGCAGATAGCTTTTGTATTTATCTGTAACATTTACTGGCTGCTTCCTACATTTCAGGCACTCTTCTAATTAAGCACTTTCTATGTTTAATTCATTTGATCCTTTACAGCCACCCTCTGAAGTATAATTTCTATTATGATCTTCATTTTATAGATGAATAAACCAAGGCACAGGGAGTTGGGGAGCTTGCCTGAGGTCACACAGTTAGTAAGGTTAATTCTAATCAAGGCAGATAGGCTTTTGACTATGTGCTCTACTGGCAGCTCATTCAAGGAACAGTAAATTAATCGCCCGCTCTGCGCCAGACGCTGCACTTGGGTAAGAGGATGAAAAGATAAATTAGAATCAGTCCCTGCCTGCCTGTGACTTATGGTCAGTGAAGAAGATAGGTATGTAAAGAAGTAATCACAGCCACGTGGTGAGCGCTAGAGCAGAAGGAAACATAGCAGGTGGAGGAATTACAGAGGAAGACATGATTTGCTCTGTTCAGAGAGTTCCGTGTTTCTAAATTCAGCGTCCTTCCTCTTCCTCCTGCTGAGTGTCCCTCCCGCGGTGCTGTTTCTGGATCTCTGACGGCCCGTGCCACACTCTGGTTGCGCAGTCCAGTGTGCAGAGTGCCCCTTGAAGCATCACGTCCAGAGTTAACGATGCCCAAGGTGCACTTGGTGCAGCAGCGCTGTTGCCGTCTGGGTCCAGGCGCAAGACGGGTCATCTTCTGAGGGGCTGGTGGGCTTACACCCTTTCTCCACTTGAGGATCACCGCTTGGTCTGCTCCCTGTTCCTCGTGGTAGTGTTGCGTCTCTCACATGCATTTGGCCCAACAAAAGGTTGAGAATTCCTAATCTTTGTCTTACCACGTTCTCGGATGTGCTTTAGCAGCTTTCTTACGTTTAACAGACAGTGAACTTGTGGCCAGTTGACCTCAGATACTTGACAATGACTTGCTGACAAATGGGTGTTCTCTACCCTGCTCTTAAGAAACTGATTGATTTTTTAAAAGTGCAAACTTAGAACTTAATACTCATCCCAGCAAAATTTCATTTTGTTGGGTTTGTGTGTGTGTGTGTGTGTGCATTTCTAGACCAAAAAGAAGGCTTAAATTTCATCTCAGTCATCTAATGTATTAGCTAAATTACTGTTTTCAGGAATCTAGGGTTTAGATAATTATGCCTTAAAATTTTCCATGTAATGCTCTTTGCATTCGGTTGCTTGTTCCCCTACGGAGCTACCAGTGCTGTTGTCTGGCTCACCAGTGTCTCCATTCCCTGGCCCCCCACACACAGTTTTCAAAAAAGAAATATCTGTATTTTTCTTATAATAAATGATCAGTTAAAGAATTTAAATGGCAAAAAAAATATGAAAATCTTCCCTATGTTACTTTCCCCACTTGCCATCCTAAGATAATCACTGTTGGCAGTTTTAGAAACAGTCTTCCAGACATTTTTCATACCTGTGTGTTTGCATTTGTGTACATATTTATGGTTTTAAAGTACAAAATAGATTATGTGATACGATACCCAAACTTGCTAGCTTTACCCAACTCATACTGCAGTGATCTTACCACGTCTCTAGTCTTTTCTAAACATTTACAAATCATCTGTTTCGTAATCACTTGTGGAATTTGCCAAAAATCAAAATCTTGCACATCAGTTTACAGTTCTTAAGCTAACATTTGCTTATGGTAATAACCGTCAGTCCTCCAGAAAAAGTTAAATTACCGTAAGTGTATTGCAGATTGACAGGGAAGTATTTTATCCGTTATAAAATGATTAACATCCAAAATGTTCAAAGAAGTGTTGAAACATTACAGTTGTTGTTCCAAAATAAAACATCATTTATGTCTGGGAAAAATAATGATAGCGCTGTTTTTGAGCTCATACGCATGCCGGGTGCTATGCTAAATAGTTGACATTATAGTATGTCATTTAGTCTTTGCACCACTGTTAGGCATGTATTGTTATTATGTCCTTTCAGAATAAACTGAAGCTCACCGTCCTTATATAATAATATCCTCCTTGGTCACATAGCTGGTCATCAGAAGTTCTTTTCTATTTCCAAATCCCCAGCTCTTTACCGCTATGTCCAGCTGCCTCTCCAGTTCATTCTTTAGTAATGCTGTTTAAACTTGGATTCGCAAACATTTATCAAGTGCCTGCTGTGTGCCAGGAATTGTGCTTGGCCAGTTGCGAAACTATGCAGCCTGTCTAGTAACTGCTAAAAGCTAGGATGCTTTGGGAAGTAGCACATATAATTAAATTCCTTGTTATTGTAACTCCATCTAACGACTGTGCTCTTTTCCTACCACTTTTTATAAAAGCTTTCCTTTAAAGTGTTTATTAAAACGTTATAACATTAAATCATTTGTAAAGTCACACTGGGCAGGTATTTAAATGTTTACAAAGTTATCATCCTAGTCCATGTGATTCTGTGTTGTACTTTTTTCATGTAACTTTTTGTAAATGATTACTTTTAAGCCTTCTTGATTATCACTTAAATGGCTGCATCAAAATCATATTACTTTATCCAGTTCAATTAATATTAATTGAAGATTCTTATATGGTCCTCAGTAGTAAAGATCATCTGTGTTACCTTCCTGCTATTGGTTCCCTGTAGAAGAAATGGAAAACTCTCCCTCAGAAGGTCCATAGAAAAACCTTGTCTGCAGTATTGACAAGATTTAGTGCACCTGTGTGGTAGGCAGCCCTTCTGGTCTTTTTCATTTCCTTGGAATATGCTTGGAGTCAAGGCTATTACCACCAGGGGATAGATACATTCTATAGTTCTTTGGATGTTTATTGACCTTGATTCTGTGGCTTTCAGAGAGTTGACATTTGGATATTTTTATGTTCTTAGATTTATTTGTAACCTTTTATTTTAGAATGGATTCCTTCTTCTTGGCCGAAATGTTTAAATATCTTTACCTGTTATTCGCGGATAAAGAAGACATTATTTTTGACATAGAAGATTACATTTTTACAACAGAAGCTCATCTGTTACCTCTTTGGCTCTCTACTACAAATCAAAGAATCTCTAAAAAAAACACAGTAGGTTATGTTTTTCAACTAAATGTCTTACTCTCTTTTTTACTCCTATGTGTTTGTTTTGTTTTTCCAAGGAAAAAGTAATCCATGACTAGAATTCTATAAATATAGTGTGGTAGGAGAAGTACCCTTGATGTTTTCTTATTTTGTTTTCTTGTATTACATCCTGTGTATACTTACATTTCACTTAATGTTTCCTTTGAACAAACTATAAAGTAAAATAATTATTTTTATTTACATAACATTCTTTTATATTTTTAGACTTCAGAATATACAGAACTGGATGACAGTAATTTTGACTGGACTTGTCCAAACACTCAGATTCTCTTCCCTAATGACCCACTGTATGCTCAGAGCATTCGTGAACCCTTGAAAAATGTGGTGGACAAGAGCTGTCCTAGAGGCATCATCAGAGTGTAAGATGTCTTATTTTATATTTGTTAATATCAAAATTAATTCTTAGTAAATGACAGAGAATGTAAGGAACATATAACAGCCAAGAAGACATTCATTTAGATTTTAAAAATATTGAGTATGTACTTATCACTGATTAAAATTAAAAATTGGTGAGTAAAGTTAGATAGCAAAGTTTATTCTGCAGTAATGTCTTTTTATTATTATGGAAATTTTCTGTGTATCTTTTGTTTAATGAACCAAGTAATTATGGCAGCGTATGATAGTTTGTAACTTCCACAGCACATTTTTTTTTTAACATCTTTATTGGAGGATAATTGCTTTACAGTGGTGTGTTAGTTTCTGCTTTATAACAAAGTGAATCAGCTACACATATACATATATCCCCATATCTCCTCCCTCTTGCATCTCTCTCCCTCCCACCCTCCCTATCCCACCCCTCTAGATCCAGAGCACATTTTTACACAACAGTTTCGTCAAATATTTCCACGTTTTGTATATGTAGAAAATATTTTTCCTTTCATCTGTAGTTTCTGTATAGGAAAAATAACTGTTTTGATTTGATTTTTTTGATGAGGTACTTATTCTTGGTTGTTGAATAAAACTTTTTGCCTTAATGAGTGCATTTTCTTCCAAATAGTTATGTTAGAAAAACCATTACTAGGAAAATTTAAAAAATTATTTTTTCTTAAGTGAATGTTATTGTTCACTGATACAAGTATTGTTTTGCTTTTAAAATATTGAGAGAAAAAAAATATTGAGAGAAACATCTGGTTTTTTTTGGTGGGGGGGTTGTTGTCTTTTTGCATTACGCGGGCCTCTCACCGTTGTGGCCTCTCCCGCTGCGGAGCACAGGCTCCGGACGCGCAGGCTCAGCAGCCATGGCTCATGGGCCCAGCCGCTCCGCGGCATGTGGGATCCTCCCGGACCGGAGGAACCCGGTCCCCTGCATCGGCAGGCAGGCAGACTCCCAACCACTGCGCAACCAGGGAAGCCCCAACATCTGATTTTTGAGGGAGAAATAAATAGTAATAAATCTCTAAGCCAACCTATTGTGTACCTTCAAATAATTGTAATGCTGTTGATTAATACTGCCTTTAGATAATATACAAGCTTTTGTAACTGTAAAGTATATTTGAAAGCTATAACACTTATTAAAAACCTAAGTTATATGTAGGTAAGTAACTCTTTCTAGTTATTCCATTTTTCACTAGTTTAAAACTAGCAATTCGTTTGCCTTATGCTTTTTTTCCCAATTCTGACTTGTGGGTTTTTTTAAGCCTTGCCTATAATTACTTTTAGCAGAGAGGAGAGTTTCAGGAGTGGAGCTAAACCCCCTCTGAGAGCCAGAGATTTCATGGCCACTAACCCTGAGCATTTAGAAATCTTGAAGAAGATGGGGGTGAGTTTGATTCACCTCAAAGATGGGAGAGTCCAGTTGGTTCAACATGCAATCCAAGTAAGACATCGCTGTACTAATTAGCTACCACCTCTGTCCTCTTTGGTCTCAGTAGCTTTAATAAGATAATGACATTTGGCTTTTTAAAAACCTTCAGTGTGTGGTTTAAAGTCAGAGTATCAGAATTTTAGAACTTGGAAGTATTTTGGAAAGCCATCTGATTCAACCCCTTTGTAGTAAATCAATCAAGTCACAAGTAGGTTGAGTAATTTGCTTACGTTAATATGGTCAAATATAGGACTCAGATCTAAGTTTTCTGTTTCTCAGTCGCTTGTCTTTCCACTATTTTATTTAGAACATAATCTTAAAAGCTAATAATTCATTTTAATATTTATATCTCTATTTTACACTATTTTAGTTTCCAAAGAGCTGAATTTAAATACTTTATTCATTATAGAAATCAAAATATGCATTTATTTATCTATGCCTAGGAAACATAACATACCTCTTTGGGAAATTTTTATTGATTTTTGCTTTAAAAGCTTTCATAACCCAAGGGCTTTAAATTATTCACCTTATTACTGCATTAATTCTGAGAAAACTACAGTTTGAGAAATAATTTCAACGTAGAACCATATTCGGATACCCCATAATCTCGGATTCAGCCTTCCCACCACCTTGCCTTCCT